GACGACTGAAGAGGAGTTGAATGATAGAACTCCTTTCCTAAATTATGAAGTAGAATAAGACCAGGAAGAGGTACTGCTGGGTATTAATCTTCTTCAGGCCTAAAATGCCAATTTTCTTTACAATGAGATCACATCTGCTTATTATCAAGATTATGACAGGTGTGGATAGAAGTTGTAAGAGAAAAAAAAATTGAATGGTGAATATATTCTCAAATAGCCCATTTTCGTTTAATTTTTTTCATGTCGCCAATTTGTTTTTAAATACAATCATAACTAATTTTCTTTTGTTAGTAATTATTAATTAAAAGTTATTATTTTCATTTTCAAAGTCTCATATTATGTTTTTAATTAGTATTAATTTATTCCTTCCTTTTCAACGACTTGCTTAAATAAATACAAATCTTGAATTTATTTTTTTTTCTGTGGAAAATCAGATCATTGTTTAAATAAACTTTTTTGTAGATGTCTACTATCAACCTCTTAAATATTCCCTCTACTTGCAGGACAATCTGTATAGTGTACATATAAATTATCACATATAAAATATAAATATATAAAGTATTATCACTATTATAAAAATAATATCTACAAATGGCCAGACTCGACCACCTCCAAGCGACAACCTCCAAAAGGAAGGTACAGAAGTGGATGGCCTACTGGGGACCGGGTAGCCCAGCAACCATCGATCCGGCCTCCCGACCGCCGCCCGGCCTATTATTGCTAATTATAGCCTCCAGGGTGGGCGACCCGAAGTACGATCTGTCAGGAGTACGAACGGGCCTCCGGGATGGGCAGACCGAAGTACGATCTGTCAAGAGTACGGAGGATTCGCTAGAAGAACCTCGTCAGAACCTAAGCGGCCGAAAAAGGAATTCTGATTGCTGGATTCAAAGCAAAAATAGTATAATTCAATTGACAACATGAATAGACAAGAGTTAACCAATAAAATTAAGAAAAATGAAGAATATCATGTATCATAATACACACAGCATTAATAAAAAATATTAACTTTAGAAACAAATTAAAATTATACTTGAATACTTAATAGTTGACCGTTGTAATATTAAGGAAGGAGATGGTCCGGAGTGGCGGTCATAAATAGACTAAATAGTAGCAAAACTATTTTATTAAAAGTCAACGTTTCGACCCGACTTTGCATGTCTTCTTCAGGGCTAGAACGGACAAGATGACTTATTGTTATATAACATATTGTTTATAATATTTTAAGGTACTTACTGTTTATAATTTTAATAAGTTTATTCACATTGTTTATCTTAATATTATGTAACTTCCACAAGTCTCTATATCTTTTTGTATCTTGTCCGTCCTACCCCTGAAGAAGACCAATAAAGACGGGTCGAAACGTTGGCTTTTAAAAAAATAGTTTTGCCTCTATTTAATCTATTTATGACCGCCATCGCGGACCATCTCCTTCCTTAAAATTATACTTATTGAAGAAAAAGTATATATAATGTACAAATTACAAGTCAAAAAGATTTAATTTGAGTGACAATGAGCAGATTTGTTGGGAATATAGTTCGTAATGGCATGTGGAAGGATAGCACCCAACGGCACCTCTTCCTGGTATTTGCTTGCTTCCGTAAATCAGGGAAGGAGATCTCTCGTCCAGCTCCTCGTCAGACTCCTCCTAATGGACATATCGGTCATGAGTCTGTTGTTGTGTCCTTGTAGTTTAACATGAAATCGTGAGTAGAAAGTTCATATGGGTTGGTCGATAGTTGGTTGTCGTAAGTCGTCATGTAAAGTTATGTTGTTTACGTACCAAGGAGCTGCTGTTATTAGTAGGAAAATTTTGGATTGAAATAATTGTAGATTTTTTAAGTGAGTCTTTTTGACTGAACCGAATATATGTGAGGCGTGTGTCCAAATGAGTTTAAGTAGGTATGGGTATGTATTTAGTTTTTGTCTGATTTGTAATTTTAATTTGAAAAAGAGAGTACAGTATTTTCAGTTGCATGTTTAAAGTCTACAGTTTCATTTCGACGTTTGAACCCCAGGTCATCCTTCTGTCGATTATTAGTCCGAGACAGCGTAGTGTGTTCGTCTGAGATAATTCATATAATTAGCAAATGCTCCTCAGTATAATAGACTGACTGTCTTTGTTAAAACCATTTAAACAGGATTTTTGAGCGACTAAACTAATCTTTTTTTATTTTTTATTTTAATGAAATTTACAACTGTATTACATAGAAAATACAATAAGTAAATGCAACATTGGTAACATGACCTGTACAGCATGAAGAGAAACTACCCATTGGTAGAATACAAATTAAAGTTCTATATTAGAAGGTCTTGAGGCCATCTTCTTTTCAGACGCCTCGGAGGGTTATCAGGGATCGAGGAGGAAGCAAGGTTTGAAACGAGAGGATTCGGATGGTGAATTATTTTTGATTATTTTTATCGTCCTCTAACTATAACTACAACAGATACTCCACTTTTAGAAAAACTTTCTTGTTTAATAAGCTTTACATCTATAATAATGAAATTGAGGTTTACTGGAAAAAAAGTTGATATTCACCTTAAGTTGTGTAAAAAAATTAATGTGATTTTATAATTGGTCACCTAAATGTAGCCGTGTTTTCAACAAAATTAACAAAAATTAAAAAATTTGATCCCTGCTCAAAATTTGAGGTTTTACGTTTCAGGATACATAGAATTCGAAAAACGAATAAAAAATTTTTGTCCGTCCGCTGTCCGCGCATTTTCTCCGAAATATGGATTTAATACTAGGATGATCCTCTTTCATCGACATTTCTATTCGCCATTTCTTTTTAAGATGACGACCGAAAAACCTGACTGCAGCGCCTAAACGATTGTGCCGATTTCAATGAAACTTCGCTAAAATCTTTTTCTCGATTCCCTTTAAATTTATCTACGTAACATACTTCAACGAAAAGAAGCTGGAAAAAAAGTTACGAGGGATGGTAAAATTAAATTCCGAATAACTCCAAAATTATACTCTTTTTTGCCGGTATTGTGATAAGATGTTTCAAAGGTATTTAAATTTCCTTTAAAAAAAAATCGTTGGAATCGGGCAATTAGGAGCAAATATAGTCTCTAAATATTTTTTATATGTTAACATACATACACACACAAAGGCCATTTTGCAAGACTTAGTTATTTGGACTCAGGAGACCTCAAAACGTGTATTTCCGTTGAAAACTGAGATTCGAAAATTTTCTCGATCGCAATACTTTCTTTTACTACACATTTTATGTATAGGTAAGTGAAAGTAAAAATAATAGCCGTGTCTTACAGGAATTTCTAGTGATTCCAGGTTGTTGTTATTCTTTTGTTTAAGTATTCTCCTCATTTAACTTTTTTTTTAACTTTCTTTTCCATACCCCTATGTCTATTTTGTGTATATTGATATATTTACTTGTTACATCTTAATTTCATAATTTTAACTTTTTATTTCTCTTCTATGAAGTATGTTTTGATAGATTTTACAGTATCTTAATTTTTCCATTTAAATTTATTATTTTCTTTATATAACTTCATATTCCTTTTCTCGGTTTTACATTTTATTTTATGTATATCTCGCTTCTTTTTAACAATCTAAGACATCATATTTTACCACTACGTCACCCCATTTATTCTATATCTAATATTTACATTTGATTTCATTTTAGTTAGTTTTTATTTTAATTTTTGTTACCTGATTTTATTATGATTATTTCATTAATCCCTAACTTTGTTGCCATTATTAGTTATTTCATAAGTTCTTCTCTTTTACTGTTATTATTTTTTTTTCATATGATTCTTATATCATTATGCGTGATATCAACATTAGGCGAGGAGGTCCCTCGAGCTCCATCCAGCTCCTCTTCAGTCTCCTACAGACGTTACCTGGCATATTCGTAGTGGCCATGTCATTTATAAGTGTATTAGGATGTCCTTGTAAGTTGTCATGGAATCGTTTGTAATTAGTACGTATGTGTTCGTTAACAGTCGGCATATGGAGGTCAGTATGTAAGATTATGTTGCTAACGTACCAAGGTGCTTTTGTGATTGTCCTGAATGTTTTTGCTTCAAAGCTTTGAAGTTTGTTTAATTGAGTCTTTTTAGCTGTTCCAATTATCTGTGATGCGTACGCCCAAATAGATGTTAGTAAGTAATTGTATGTGATAAATTCCTGTATAAGTTTTAGTTTTGAATGAAGTGAATTCAGAATTCTTAACCTTTGATTTAGCGTTTTTGGTTTCTTAATTATATGTGGGCCAAGTCATTTTTCTGTCAAATGTCAGACCAAGGTAGTGAACTGTGTCTGTCTGTGGAATCTTTGCATTGTCAAGGAAAACTGGAGGGCATGTTTCATGTCGAAGAGTAAATGTGATGTGCTGTGATTTGTCTTGATTTAGTCGGATTTTCTATACTTTGAACCAGTCATGTAACCTTATTAAATACTGTTGTAGGGTCTGTGAGGCGTATGTTGGATTTTATTTTTAATTATTTATTTAATTTTTATTTTTCACAAGTTTATAGTTTCTCATATTGTTATCTGGTCTTTTCGTAGCCCTGATGAAGGCCTGAACTTTTGGTCGAAATGTCGGCAAATATAAAAATAAATATAATTTATTTATTTTTTAATGAACACCTCAACCAACTTCTCTTCAATTATTCAGTACAGCCAACCATCTATTCTAATACTAATAGTTTGCAACAGTAACTATTTAATTTTCACAGCAGCTACTTCCCAAAAAAAAAAAATTACAAATGAGAAAAATAATAAACAACCGAAAAGTCAGTTTTGTAAAACAATCATTTCAGTTTGCCATAGAGGCCATTGTACATCAAAGAGTACGTTGTTATGTATGCGAACGTTGTACAAGGGCATCCTGTTTACTTACTCCCACTTTTTAAAGTTTTAAAATGATTTTGAGTTAGTTCGAGATCTGATATTGTTAGTAGTACTAACTTGTAGTACTAAATCTGATATTGTAACTTCAAAAAGTTAAAACTTGTTCATGTGTTTATAAATGTTTAGGCGACGCTTTCGTGCTTGTCGTTGTGTGACCTGCATAACTCCTAATCACGATATACCATATGGAGTTAACGAAGGAAATGATTTTTGTCAACAAGAGTTAGATCCGAAACAGGTATAGGATATTTATATTACACTATCTGACCCAATCAAACAATTCGCATATTATTATATTTTTTTTATTATTGAAATTAGAAATAAACTGTATTAAATGATAAATACAACAAGTAACATGACATGTACAACATGAAGAGAAACTACCCATTAGTAGCAATCCAATTATATTTCTATATTAGAAGGTCCCGAGGTCATCTTCTTTTTAGACACCTCGGAGTGTTATTAGGAATAGAAGACGAAGCAAGGTTGGAAACAAGAGGGTTCGGATGGTTCTGAAGTTTATTATGGAAGGATAGGTATCTGGATTGAGCTAAATCAGAAATAAATGGTACATTAAGGTCATTACGGATAATTTTATTTGTGACAAAGTAGGGAACATTGAGGATTTTACGAAGGATTTCGGATTGTAAGGATTGGATACGAGAGGGATTCGATGGTTTAGTAGAACCCCAAAGCTCGATCCCGTAAGTCCAATTCGGCCTTATTATAGTAATATATATGAGTCTTTTGTTAGTTGGAAGTTTACAGCGTTTGTCTAGTAAGTGCTTCAGTAGTATAATTATATTAGTCAGAGAAGAAATTTAGATATAACATCCGTCTTAAACTTCGTGAATGGATTAATCTTCTCGTAACTTACGACATTTTATTTACAAAAATCCTTATAAATGAGGCGTTTTTTGATTAAATTAATTAGTTGAATAAGGTACTTAGAACTGATGAAGAGCCATTCCCTTGAATCTTAAGATAATTTAATCGCAAAATCAAGAAAAAAGGTGGCCTACAAAAATATTAGGCCGTTTGGCCTATATAATCTTGTTGACAAGTTGGGAGTGGAGGTTACGCTTAAAAGCCCAATATTTTTGTAGGCTACCATTTTTTTCGATTGTGACATCAAATTATCTTACGATTCAAATCAAAAGCAAATGAGTGTTCATGAATTTTTTCGAATAGATATACAAAGAATAGATTGATAGAATAGACATAGATATTGAATTAAATATACAAAGGTTGCCTCACATTTTTTATCAAACATTCCTTTATATCGTCTAAGCTATTCATCTAAGAAAGAAATTCATTTAAAGTAAGTTGTTGAGATTTAAATTCCCTATAGAAAAGAAGTTTTAGATTATTTTAAAAACTTTAATACATTATACGAAACATTTCTTCTGTTATGCACCGTTTTGGAGATATAAGAGAAAATCCAAAAATTGTGTACTTTCCTTCCCCCTCTCTCACCTCTGGCTTACCACTTAGACGTCAGTACTTTTGATATGTTCGTACCCTAATCACCCTGAACAAGTTTCTGAAGGAATCGCTTAGTTCACGCATTAAAAAACAAAACAATCTGGTGTGTCCACTCACACGACTTTCCTACCTATTTCAGAAAAGTTTTTATATCATTACATATCATTCATGAAGAAACAAAAAAGAATTTAACTAAATTTATTTTCCTGAAAATTTATCAAACAAAAGATTTGAGTACGATTTATTTGATAAATTAAGTCAATGAAACCGGCTTAAGGTAGATCAGTGTACAAATTTCAATACTCACTAATATTGCTGATCGAAAACTTTTTGCCATAGCTTAGTATTGTCAAACAATAATCTCTGTTAAAATTAGAGGAAATAGTGAAGATTGTGTGATGCGGGCAACAAATTTCTTAATTTCACTTAGTTATCTTTATTCTCTTATTCACCTCTTTCTGACACCAGGAAATTAACTCGTAATCTTTCATTGGGAATTGAATAGCTGTAACATCGTTAATAGTTGTCCAAAATGATCGATTTTTATATGGCTTTGTTGGTAATTTAATTACCTTTCAAAAGTTTTATTATGAATTTCACCGTATAATATATACTTAGGAAGTTAGGCCCCATAACATTATTCTTTTCTTTACAACTTTTTTTCCTGATTTTTTTCGGTAATTTAGTCTATATAGGAAAATTGAAAGAGCAATGATTAGAACATTTTAGGAAAGTTTAATCAAAATCGTTAGAGCCGTTTTTGCGGTACAGTCTATAGAAAAACGTGTTTTTCATTTATTGCGCGTAAGCTATTGCACCGGATTTCTGCCACAGGCATCGGTAGTCAAAACCCTACAAAATAAAAAAAGAAGCAACGAAATCGGTTCAGTAGTTCCCGAGAAAATCATGGCACAGACAGACAGACAGTGTGTCTAAAAATGTGTTTTTCGGACTCAGGTGGCTGTGAAATGTATAGATCCGTCGAAAACCGCATGTCGGAAATTTGACCCGATTGCAATACTTTCCTTACCTAGTATAGGTAGGAAAGCAAAAAACACCTGTAGCACTACCAACCCATGAAGGGTCTTGGATTCAGTACAATGTGAGGAAGTACTGTTACAAGTCCAGGGGTTGTGCTGAGAGGTGACGGGACAATATCACGCTTAACCGCCAGGTTTTCCCCCCTTAATTAATTAACGCAATCTATACCTCCTTTTGTGATTGGGCTCAGAGCCATTTTCGTCAAATTATCAACATTCACCTAAAACATCATTAATGGCTTCATCTTTTCCGATACAAATGAAGACCATTATTTTCAAAACTAGGATGCTAAATAGATACCATTTGGCCGCGACGGTAAGCAGTTTCAACAAAACAGACAAGCACTAACGGTTGGCAGTATGGAATGGCGGTTGCTGCCGTCGGCAGTACAAGCGCAATAGTATCTTTAACGTCCCAACAAACAAACAAGAATCAATTATTTTTTGTAATATACAAAGGACGATTTTTCAGTTGGTCGAACGAATCATCATCATATGTGGCACGACATCCCGTTACCGAGACTGGGCCTCCTCCAAGAGCCTCCGCCAGTTGGCTCTGTCTTCTGCTGCAGCTCTCCAGTTCCGTACACCAAGCAGGGTTCTCGCATCATAAGCCACGTTGTCCAACCACCTCGTCCTCGGTGTTCCTACCCGTCTTGCGAGGTGCAGCTCCTCCATCATTATTTTCTTTGGTATCTCAACGGTGCTCATTCTGGCCACATACCCTGCCTACCTTAGTCTGGCCAGTTTAATATACGTGACTACGTCGATGTCTGTATAGAGAGAACTGAGCTCCCTATTTTTTCTTTTCCTCCAGACATCACCCTCCTTTACTGGACCATAAATCTTTCTGAGGACTCCTCGCTCAAACACACTCAGCTTCATCTCATCGTTTTTAGTCATCGTCCAAGCCTCTGAGCCATATGTCAAAACAGGCCGTACAAGGGTCTTGTATATGATCAGCTTGGTGTTCTTTGAGAGGTACCTACTTCTTAAGTGTCGGCCAAGTCCAAAGACACATCTATTGGCAGCCGTGATCCTTCTCTGTATTTCTTGAGCCATGTCATTTTTGCTATTAATTTCAGACCCAAGGTATATGAAACTTTTCACTCTCTCAAACTTAAAAGAACCTACCTCAAATGGAGAGTTCAGATCCACCTCACCACCAACTCTCATATACTTAGTTTTCCTCTCGTTGACTTCTAGACCAAGTGGTCTTGCAGCTGCTTCAAGGCCTATAAACGCTTCTCTGAGATCCCGTTCAGAGCTACCTATTATGTCAATATCATCAGCAAGACCAAGAAGCTGTGTCAGGCGATTGAAGATTATATCGTTGGTCTGAATACCGGAGTCTCTTACAGCTTTCTCCTCTGCCAAGTTGAACAATAGACAGGCGAGGGCATCCACTTGCCGAACCCCACTGCTCACTTTAAACTCTTCGGAGGCATCAGAACCGACGCGTATTCTACATCTCGAGCTGTCCATGGTCATCTTGATTAGGCGTACGAGCTTCTGAGGGATGCTTAGCTCCTCCAAGGCACAGTATAGTTGCGTTCTATCAACGCTGTCGTATGCTGCTTTAAAGTCTAGGAATAAATGGTGGGTGACTACCTTACGCTCCATAGTCTTTTCTAGGATCATCCTCAGAGAGAACAGTTGATCAGTGGTTGAGCGTCCTCTTCGAAATCCAGCCTGATATTTCCCCAGTTCCTTTTCAGAATACGGGAGGATCCTCTCAAAAAGAATGTTAGAGAGCAGCTTATAAGCACACGAATATATATGTATATATATATATATATATATATATATATTTTTTTTTTTTTTTAATTGACATGGAATGACCCATTACCGTTTAGGACATTGCCGTTTTCTGACTATCGTGACAACACTATACTATCACCAACGAAACCAATATGAAATATTCTTCTCTAGCTGGTTTCTAACCCGTTGAGTGAGGAGGAGAGGACTAAGTAGAGAACTCTAGAGCAGTTATTCAAATGGGAGAGCCGTTAGTGACTAATAACAGATATTAAAGGCCAGACCTAAACAGCCTTGTACGCAATTTCCCAAACGAGAGACCATTTCCTCCTGCGCCAGTCTGGTTCTGGTCACGCGAGATTCGCTCCTACGCCGCCAATGTTTGCTCTCCAACGGTAGATCGAATCAAGGAAGCTGTGGTTCAGGATTTAGGAAGCAGTATTATAAAATCTCTGAACGTTTTGGTTTATTATTATCAGTATTCGACCAAGAAAAAAAAAGTTAAACACCTAACAATTTGAGGATCAAAAATACGTGGTGGTTCGTGGTACAGACAGCTTTTAATCAAATTATTAACACTCCTCTGAAACTTCGTAAATAGCTTATCACAACCTACAACTATTTTATTTACGAAAACTCTTGGAATTGGGACATTTTCAAACTGGAGGGAAGAAAACTTTGCCTATTTAATTAGGTACTAAAAACTCGTATATGCAGATTTGCGTTATACTTGGATCGTAACTAACATCTGTCTGAAACATCGCGAATAGTTTCAGCTCATCGTAACCTACAAATATTTTATTTACTAATAATCTTGAATTTCTCAAATTATCTTACGATTCAAGTAGAAAACTAATGGGTATTTAAGAGTTTTTAGTACCTAATTAAATATACAAAGTTTGGTGGTTTCCAGAATGAAAACACCCTGATTCCTAGTGTCTTCGTAAATAAAACA